GGAAACCTGAAAAGAATTATCTGATAATTTTCATAAAATCATAATAAATCAGATCAGACAGAATAATCAGTCAACATTCCTTTATAGTTAGACACTTTTCAGAATTTTCATATTTCATTTTTATAACCCAAAATATATTAAGATGATATAAGGTATTGAGTCAGACGAGTGTATGCAATACATATCTTAGTGTCATCATCAGAATCGGAACAGATAAGCACACACAGTGCTATCACATCGAAAATAACAATATGCACACAAAGTGCATTCAGATCGGAATATATATATTAGTATACACTCTGGTACACTACAGTATATCAGAACCAGAACAGATAATCACTCCACCTCATGACATGCCAATTGTACCTTTGACTCTCAATATAACATACAATGAGCTTTCAGTTCATTTCGAAATCATTTAATAAAAATCATATCAGAATCAAAAATATATTTAATTACATTTCTAAAATATGACATGGGCAGTTCATACCCAAAATCATTCATTAAACTTATTAAAATATTACATATATATTTCCAAAATCAAAACATAATTCATATATTTGAAAATAAATAAAGTGAGGTTGATTTATCACAAATCGTCATCAATCATAATAATTAAATAAATAAATTGCACTCATCTTTGCCTTACTACATAACTTATATACAATAGTCCTAGTCACGAGCTTTGTCCTTTCCTTTTCAGATTGTTCGGATTGCTAGATTTATCATAGTCTGACAATATCAATTATAACACAAAATATTCGAACTACATATTAGTATCGTACTAACATAAATTATTTTAATATTAAAACATCTATAAAAATAAAAATCGAGATTAAATTAATATCAACTAAATCACATTTTCATTATAATTTCCAACTTCTCAAAATACTCAGCCAAATCCATGAATATTTATTTTCATCCTTAACCCTTCATCTTTTGCTAATTTCCACAAATAAGCCACATATTATGAATTCTTTTTAGAATTCACATCCACCTTTCATTTAATTCATAATGGTCTTTCACCATTATGATCATTGCACATAAATTATTAAAATTCCAGCACTTAAATAAAATACCCAAATCAATACTTCAACATTCAAAATATTATAAATTTCAACCCAAACTTTCCTAAACTTTTGATTTTCATCACCTAACTTTATAAATTTGTAATTCAACCCTAACTCAATATTTAATTCAAAATTCAGCATACTAATAAATTTAACCAAATAATACTTTTACATTTAATAACTTGCAAACAAGTCCCCATAGTTTTGGGACCTTTCGAATTCCACTACTAATTTTACCAAATTTGCAAATTTGGTTCCAAACAACTTGCCAACTTAATTTCTAGCATAACAAATATAAAAAATAAACATTGAATCCCTCAAATATTACATTCTTACAATAATATCCCACAATTCCAATAACTTGTAAACTAGCCCTTTTTACACTTTCAAGGTTCCAAATTGATCCAAACCAATCTCCAAATCACATGGAATACTTCTAATATCATTTCTAATCCATAGGAATTTTTTCAACATTTCCCTCTATTTTCTTCCCTATGACCAAATATTTTATCTCACCTAGGGGAACTTTTTATTTAATTTCAAGCATGAATTCAACCTCCTATGATTAAATTCATGTATTTCCAATCATCACAACAACAAATTGAATCAAAATCCCATGATTCTCCATAAACCCTAACATGGCCAAATCTTATATACACATGTACAATTAATTATAATCATTATACATTCTTTAGAAATAATCACTAACATAAAAAACATAAAGATCATTCAACAACTCTTTAAAATCACTAAACCCTCCTTAAACCCTAATCATGAAATCTCATCAAATAATCATCTTCACCATGAAATATTGGTACCAAATGATAGAGAATTTCATATAGATTAATTCTCTATCTAATAGCTAAATCCAAAAATCAAGTATATTGCTTCAAAAATCAAAAACAAAAATCTTACCTTGGGAGCACTTGAAGTTTCGGCCTTGGAGAAGAAAGAAGCTGAAAATATACTAATTATCTTGATTATTCTAGTATTTAAAATATTAGACACTTGACATTTATTTAATTAATTGAATTTAAAAATCAATTAATGAGAAATCTAAAAAATACCCTTAATAAATCTTGAAAATTACCAAATTCATTGTATTATCTTCCATTAAAATATTCCTTAGTCAAAGATGAATCAACTTGACTTTGACTTTCGAATTTGACCATACAATTTTCAAAATTTGCATTTTATTCACTAAAGTTCCACTGTTAGGTCAAATCTGAAAAAATTATACCGTTCTGAGCCAGATTTCTCTGATCTAAAATATGAAAATAACATTTCCAACCATTTTCTAACATCCTTAAAATTTTCGTAAAATTCTGGTTTGATCCGATTATCTGATTTCAATACCGAACTTTACCGTTTTATAGCTTTTAACACAAATCTCGTACAAAAAAAATGATTCCTACTAAAATCTATGTTTTAATCCAAACGTTTATTTACTGGCTAAAATATATAAATTTTAAAAATTAAATTTTGGTCCCTAAACTTTTTAAAATTTATACTTTAACTACTAAACTTTCAAAGTTTACATTTTAGTCACTAGACAAAATTTGGGGTATTACAATTTAACTAACGTGAGAGCATGGACAATTTTTTTTAAACACCTCACACCTTTAAGCCCAAATCACATTGGGATGGGTTCATCTTCATTGTTCTCGATCCACAGCTTTAGGGAAGTTAAGAGTGTATGTTGGTGCTGAGAATAATAGTTTGCTGCAGATTATAGTATAAGAAATCTGAATATAAGGACTACATAAAATTTTATATTAAAAATATAAAGTTTAAAAAATTATATTTTATAATTACATGTAAGTCGTCAATACTGACCAAATTTATATTGGTATTAACACGTTAATCATTCAATTATGTATTGTTTAGGCCCTTAGAACCAAAGATGCAGACAAAAAACATGAAGAGCATAGAGCAATGGTGAGAAGGACTTGTTAGCCACTCAATCAAAAAGCAGATACAACACCCACCACCAAACACCAATATTTTGTTGGTTTTAAGAAAGCAAGGCTTTCGTGTACAAATCGAAGGCGTGCCCGGTTTAAATTACAAGGTTTAGGTCACCCCTCACTCTTCTACTTTTTTTTATTAAATAAGTAATATCTTATAAAAGTTATTTCTATATATAATATTCATTTCTCAGATGTTTATTAAATACATGTCTTATTGATTGTATTTAAAGAATGATATTTGATTATCAGTTGATGGATTATTATTTGATACAGTCTCATAAAAGAAACTAAATTGGGTTTAAGTTGGATATTTTTTTGAAGAATGCGGTAAGATTTCGATTTAGGATGAAAAATGTCTGATCTAACCTCGAACTGACTCGAGATAATAATATAATTATCCCTAAATATTTAAGGATAATTTCAATAATATTTCTCTCTATGTTTTTAAATAGGTATCCGTTTTACCTAATAAAATGAAATTATACATGTGTGTGTTAGGTCGAATGTGGATTTTTACCCTAAAATCTAGTAAAATTTCGAGTTCAATGAAACTTTCTTAAACTTTGGTTAGATTAGATGACGGGTGAAATAATATAATACTTGTGGTCGAGTTTAGGTAAGCTAAAAATTTAGCCTGACCTGCTCTACGTTATTTTTTAGAATTAATCATAAATAAGTATTGTAATAAAAAAATATTATTTTTAATTATTTTCATACAAAAATAGTAAGATCAATAAATATAAATTAATTATGGATTAGTTTAATCTCAATGGCGATTAGCTTAGTTTGTTCAGACTTTTGGGCTTCCTTTGTTTTCGGTGTTTACTTGTAAACAAACTCAACTTCTATGAAAGGAAAAAGATAATTGAGATTGCGATTTTATTTCTTTGGGTGAAATGATTTTGACCTAAACCATATATATAAGTGAAGCATGACATAACATGAATAATTAATCTTCCAGAAACAATAATGAAAAAAAATTAAAACTATTTATAAATATAATTAATTATAATATATATATATATATATATTATTAAGCTAAAGGTAATTACAAAATAATATATGTTATAAATACTCCCAATCGTTTGACAATTAACGTTCAATCACCCTTGCAGTCGTTGGTGCTTGAACCCTTGATCTCCAGGAACAACAACGATTTATTTAACCACTGTGATAAGTTGATTCGTGCAATTATGATAATTTATATGAGTACACAAGATCGAACATGCTTAAATATGATATTATTAAATTTATAGATAGAAAGAGATCTTATAGTATAGGTATTGTATCAAACTGTTCCAAATAATTAATTACAACAATATATAAATATGATTTTATTATTTTAAATAATTAATTGGATCATCAAATTGAATATTATATGATAAATATTAAATGTTAAAAAGGTTAAATATCAAAATACAAGTACTAAATTTAACTTAGCAAATAGGATTGATATATTACTTAAAATTAAGTATTAGATATAATTATATTTAATGGTGGATTCATCTTCAGTCTAGAGTAAGTATGTGTCTGTTTTGAAATTTAAATTTTATTTGATTAATTACTTATTTTATTGATTATCTCCAACCTAAAATTTTATTTGTACTCACTCGTACGAAAACTTTGTGTTATTAATACATATGTATTCATCCTAAAAAAATATTTTGGATTTACCATTGATTATTTTATTGGATAAATATATCTTTTGCTAAAAAAATAATAAACGTAAATTTTAAAAAATTATCTAATACGTATCAGCATTTAAATTTTAAAAATTTTATCAAATAAGTAAATAAAATTAAAGTTTTAAAACCAAGTATAAAGATTAAATTTTAAATATTGGTAAATAAATGTTTAGGCAAAGCGGCTGCTTCGGCGCAACTCCTTTTACCTAACAAACTTTAAACGCATTAAGACGAGGGGGTTAGACACCATGAGTCACCAAACTTATTGACCATTGTTGTTCTCACTCATTTTCTCCTTATTATAAACCCTTCCCTTTACAGATTTTCCAGGCAACTCTCTTAACTGACAGTTTTTTCTTTCTTTCTTTCTTTCACTATGTCATTTGTCGGAGACTCAATGAAATCGCCGGCGAAGCCAATGACAACCGATGACGACCTCCCATTGTTTAACAATTCCAAACAAATGGAAGTCCAAAAATACCCCAAAAAGCCCACGGTTTCTCCCACGCTAGCCGAACTCTTAATGCACGTCGATGACGCCCAGAATTCTCCGGTCGACCACCGAGTCGTTGAGCTCGGCTATGGGTGTGGTGCACTCCCGTCATCCAACCCTTTTGTTCTTAGTTTTAATAACTTGACATACAGTGTTAAAGTTCGTAAAAAGATGGGATTGATCCCGTTTTGTGGGAAGAAAGGCGATGAGATTGATGCTAATGCGGTTAATACGAAGGTTTTGTTGAATGAAATCTCGGGTGAAGCTCGAGAAGGTGAAATAATGGCGGTTCTTGGTGCAAGTGGCTCTGGGAAATCGACGTTGATCGATGCACTTGCGAATCGTATTGATAAAGATAGCTTAAAGGGCACTTTAACTTTGAATGGTGAAGTTTTGGAGTCGAGGCTTTTGAGGGTGATTTCGGCTTATGTCATGCAAGATGATCTTCTTTTTCCGATGCTCACCGTTGAAGAGACGCTGATGTTTTCAGCCGAGTTCCGGCTTCCGAGGTCGCTTTCGAAGACGAAGAAGAAGGCTAGAGTGCAAGCTTTGATCGATCAGCTCGGGTTGAGAAGCGCAGCTAAGACGGTGATTGGGGACGAAGGGCACCGAGGTGTTTCCGGAGGAGAACGAAGGCGGGTTTCGATCGGGATCGACATAATCCATGACCCCATCGTCTTGTTTCTCGATGAACCAACTTCGGGTTTGGACTCCACCAGCGCGTTCATGGTGGTTAAGGTCTTACAACGAATTGCTCAAAGTGGAAGCATTGTTATCATGTCGATTCATCAGCCGAGTTACAGGATTTTGAACTTGCTTGATCGCTTGATTTTCCTTTCGCATGGAAACACTGTTTATGGTGGATCGCCGGAGATGCTACCATCTTTCTTTTCCGAATTCGGGCATCCGATACCGGATAACGAAAATAAGACCGAGTTCGCTCTTGACCTGATTCGCGAGCTCGAAGAAACTCCAGGTGGAACCAAAGGATTAGTTGAATTCAACAAGTCATGGCAGGCTAGAAAGAATCAAAGAAACGGATTCTCCATGAAATCAAATCTTTCACTCAAAGATGCAATCAGTGCAAGCATTTCTAAAGGAAAACTAGTCTCCGGTGCAACAAACGATTCCAATTTAACATCTTCGGTGCCTACTTTTGCAAATCCACTTTGGATCGAAATGATAGTTATCGCAAAAAGATCGATGTTGAACTCGAGAAGAACGCCTGAACTGTTCGGGATTCGATTAGGTGCGGTTGTCGTCACCGGGATAATCTTAGCCACCATGTTTTGGAAGCTAGACAATTCACCAAAGGGCGTCCAAGAACGTTTAGGCTTCTTCGCTTTCGCCATGTCGACGACGTTCTACACATGCGCCGAAGCAATCCCGGTTTTCCTCCAAGAACGCTACATTTTCATGAGAGAAACAGCTTACAATGCTTATCGCCGATCGTCATACGTTTTGGCTCACTCTCTAATCTCCATCCCATCTCTCATCATCCTCTCCATGGCCTTCGCCGCAATAACCTTTTGGGCGGTCGGACTTGCAGGCGGCCTTTCCGGTTTCTTCTTCTTTTTCTTTACAATCTTAGCCTCCTTCTGGGCCGGAAACTCGTTCGTAACGTTCCTGTCGGGCGTCGTCTCCCATGTTATGTTAGGCTTCACGGTCGTCGTCGCCATCTTAGCCTATTTCCTGTTATTCAGTGGATTCTTCATTTCTCGAGATCGAATACCCGTATACTGGATCTGGTTCCATTACATCTCTTTAGTTAAATACCCTTACGAAGCTGTTCTGCAAAACGAGTTCGACGATCCCACTAAATGCTTCGTCCGAGGGGTTCAATTGTTCGACAACACACCTCTGGGGTCGGTGCCGTCGTCTCTGAAACTGAGGCTGTTGCAAAGCATGAGCGGCGTGTTGGGTGTTAACATCACCGGCTCCACCTGTGTGACGACCGGCAAAGATCTTTTGGTGCAGCAAGGTGTAACCGACATAAGCAAATGGAATTGTTTGTGGATCATCATTGCATGGGGATTTTTCTTCAGGATTTTGTTTTACTTCGCATTGTTGCTTGGGAGCAAGAACAAGAGAAAATGAAAGCTCTGGTTCTTCAAACACTCAGAAGAAGATGTTGTGGCCGCTTTCTTTATAGTTCAAGTTTAAATATTTGTCTAATTTCACTGTAAAACATACTTCATTTTTCTCAAGTATATTTGCATGCCACATCATTATACATATGAATCAAGCTTATAGCTCCTCTTTTTTTTCTTTCTAAACTACAAGTATAAAAACATTCACAATCAACATAATAATGAAACTGATTCTGTACATAATCAAAATCAATCATTGTGTCGGTTATTCAAATTATGATCCGATCGTATTTTTAGTTGCGTCGTGTTTACCGCGATTGTAGAAGTTATTGTGAGTATCACATTCATACAATAACGGTTGCGGAAGGCACCGCTACCTATATAACATACGCTATCGCGATCACGATCACAAACACTTTTTAAATCCTTGATCATTATAGTATGATTGTATTAAAAATCAAACCTTAATCTAAATTAAAATAATAATCTAGATACAAACTAATCTAAAACAATGAGATACAAATTCATACATATTAATTTATCTACTATATAATTTGAACTTAAAACACTAAAAATCTTAAGACCTCATATTCCATCTGATTTTTTTTCGAGGTAAAGAAAAACAGAGAGCTTAGATGGGCTCAATATTCAGTCGTTTTGTTTATCGGTTAGGCTGCCCATATTGACATATTCCTGACCCATAAGCTGAGCTCTATTCGTAATTAGCCCATACAATTATGGAATAGAGTAGTTTCTGTATCCAAACAACACCAACCCTACCATTTTTACTTAACGCATCCACACTCCTTAACCCTAGCTGCTGCTTGGTGGTGACTTTATAGCATTTTACTTCATTTTCCCATCTCCCCTTTTTCCCACAGCCTAAACCCTAACAATGGCAGCCGCTGCCGCCCGACCTCTGGTTTCGGTTCAAACCATGGAATCCGATATGGCCACCGACGCTACCCCTACCGTCCCTCTCGCTGATGTCATGAAAGCCTCGATCCGACCTGACATTGTCACCTTCGTCCACGACAACATCTCCAAGAACCGACGCCAACCCTATGCCGTCTCCAAGCGTGCTGGTCACCAAACCTCAGCTGAATCGTGGGGTACCGGACGTGCCGTCTCACGTATCCCGCGTGTTCCTGGTGGCGGTACTCACCGTGCCGGCCAAGGTGCTTTCGGGAACATGTGTCGTGGTGGCCGCATGTTTGCTCCTACTAAGATCTGGCGCCGCTGGCACCGGAAAATCAACGTTAACCAGAAGAGGTACGCCGTGGTTTCCGCCATCGCTGCCTCCGCTATTCCTTCTCTCGTAATGGCACGTGGTCACCGCATTGAGGCTGTCCCTGAGATGCCTCTGGTCATATCGGATGCTGTGGAGAGCGTGGAGAAGACGTCGGCTGCAATTAAAGTTTTGAAACAGGTCGGAGCATATCCTGATGTGGAAAAGGCTAAGGATAGCCAAGGGATCCGACCTGGAAAAGGGAAAATGAGGAACCGGAGGTACATTTCCCGTAAAGGTCCATTGATTGTTTACGGAACTGAAGGGACGAAGCTCGTTAAAGCCTTCAGAAACATTCCCGGTGTCGAAGTTGTCAATGTAGAGAGGCTTAATCTGTTGAAACTCGCTCCTGGTGGACACCTTGGAAGGTTCATTATTTGGACCAAATCTGCTTACGAGAAGCTTGACTCTATTTACGGGTCATTTGATAAGCCATCTGAGAAGAAGAAAGGGTACGTTTTGCCTCGCTCTAAAATGGTGAATGCTGACCTTGGTAGGATCATTAACTCTGATGAGGTTCAGTCGGTCGTTCAGCCGATCAAGAATGAGGTCAAGAGGGCACCAATGAAGAAGAATCCACTCAAGAACTTGAATGTTATGCTGAAGCTGAACCCTTATGCGAAGACTGCTAAAAGGATGTCTCTTTTGGCTGAGGCACAACGTGTTAAGGCTAAGAAGGAGAAGCTCGATAAGAAGAGGAAGCCTATTTCTAAGGTATACAGATTCTGTTTCTGATATGCTTTTCGATTTCTTATTGTTTATAATTGCACTTTTCTGTGTTAGGCTGATGCATTATAGAATTATATTTAATGCTTAATGTCATTGGATGCTTTGTTTGCTGGTCTTGATTGTGATTTATATGACCAATGAACCCATTATTGCATTTTAATGCTTAATGCTTAGTTTGTGCTACTTGTTTAGTCGACTCACGCCATTGCTTATAAGTCATAGCTACATGAGTATTATTATGCATTGGTTTTTCCACCTTATGTTGAGCATGACTTTGGGCTCGAAGGGAGCTGTGTGATAGCACCCAGTGGTTCTCTTTCTCTTGTTTGAGTGGCGTGTCCCTGTATCATCTCCTTCTCCGTGTTAATGGAAGTGGTAGGGGTCTTAGATTTTTGTATTTGTTTACTTGATTTGAGCCATTTCATTTGGTCATATGCTAGATGAATACTAGGAACTGCTTTTGCTCCTTATGTTGAGCACGAGTTGAGGCTCAAAGTGAATTATAATGGCACCCTTTGGTTTTCTTTCTCACTTGAGCCATATTGGTGGCCAAATTATGAAGTCGAATATTTGCATCTTTCTCTTTCTAAGATTTCAGTTGGTTCCGGCATTTGTTTACATTCTCGGGCGAGATTGATGTTTTCTCAAGGTGACTCCATTCTTCTTCCTTTTGCCTCATCTTGTACCTTTCAGGAGGAAGCATCGGCAATCAAGTCGGCTGGCAAGGCATGGTATCAAACCATGATCTCGGACAGTGATTACACCGAGTTCGAGAACTTCTCAAAGTGGTTGGGCGTGTCTCAGTGAATTTAGTTTTCTGCTTTAGACGATTGATTGTATCAGTTTTGTTTTGGTGGTGGCATCTCTATTTCCTTTTGATTGTTTATTTTAAATGAGAAGTATGAAATACTTAACAAGACTGGTTGGTCAGATGGTTATGTTATTGAAATGTTTGCCTTGCACTGTTCATCGTTTGTTATTATTTTTTTAAATTCATTTTTGAAGTTAACAAGGCTGAAGTTAAGAGGAAGGATTTTGACTCCCCTTGTATTTTAGGGGTAAGCAAAATCCGATTTTAACTCAAAAAAAATGTTATTCTAATTTTGAATTATTCGAATCTAATTTAAATTTATGAATTTCAAATTACTAAAATTCTGCAGATTAGAATGATGTCATTTTATTCTTATTTAAGTAATTTAATTCTTTTGTTCTTAGTCCCTTTTTTTTGGTTCATTTACTCTTTTATTTTAATCAAATTTAAATTACAACTTCCTTAACTTTAGAGTACTTGTGAAATTCTTTTTCTTGATAACAATATTTTTACTCGACTCACGTCTACTTATAGTGATGAAATTGTACACGAGTTTCTCTGAAAGTGATAAAATTGTAATTTAGCCCCAGAAGTTATAAAATTATAAGCTGATAGAATGAAGAAAAAAAACATTTTGACTTCCATAAGAAACTATAATTCAATTTCAGCTCATTATTTTTATATCTTTACCTGAACAACCTATTTCAACTTCATTATACAATATCTCCAGTCCCCATACATAACCGAAATAAGCACAAAGGCTGCTATTAATTTGCTTTATTTACATCAATATCAGCATATATGTATCAATCTAGTAAACTTGATAATATATAACATTTAACTACAATGCAGGGACCGTTGTAGCTAAATAGACCGTTCAAGAGTGCGTATCTGAGTTCATCAGATTCTTTAATTCACTGTTCTAGCTGAAATTATTAGCTATACATGCGAAATTGATTGTGTACATCAGAGTATGTCATTCTTGTACATAATACTACTTTTAATTGAATTTGGTTTTAGAACCAAAAGGGGTATCATCCTATATGATAACAGTACTTTAAAGGAATAAAGTATGAAATCGCCAACCTATTAAAACAAAAAAAAAATCCAACTCGTAAATCACCGCAAACTTACAACGCAATCGCAATGTATGCATGGCTACAGTCAACTCTCCTTTAATTCTTTTCTTAATCCTTTACTTAGTTAATTTAATTTTGAACCGCCTAATTTTCCCGTAATTCAAAAATAAAACTAAATTAACTTCCGTTTTCTCCTTTCTCTCTTCTCTCGTCTCTCCTCCAATTCTCCATCTCCTTCCTCAAATTCTTTGATTCAATTTGTTAATTTTAAATCTTCATTTTTATTTTTGTAAAATGTGTGATTATGATTTACAAAGCGATTTCGATATAAAAGGATTGTGCCTCATCGACGTTACGGCCGAAGACGATTGCCTCATCGATACGCCTTTCCTTGATACTCTCTCAGGTTTCCATTTATCATCATCATTTGCTCTTGATTTTTCATGTTAAATTGATTTCTCTACATTTTTGTACAATTTTTTTCCAATGGTGCTTGAAATTGATCAATAATGGATCTTTTAAAATTTTCTGAACGTAATTAATAATGGATTTTGTGATTTAGTAATGTAATTAATCGGTTTATCACAAAGCTTCGGATTCACATGTAACATGCCAAATTTTCATATTTCATTGATTTCTCTGGATAATTTTTGTGCAAACATTTTCCAATAAAGCTTCACATTGATCAATAATCGTTTTTATTTTTCTGAAAAAAATTGGATTTTTTGTATTGTATAGAAATCTGATTAGGCTGTTTTGATGAATATGGAAAGTTAGGTGGAGAATTGGAGGAAGACGAGACAAAAGGAAATGGAAGAAAAAAATTACACAAAAGTATGACATGGGATAGCTCTTTCTTTAGTAGTGCAGGTATGAATTCATCTTTTTTTTTTACCTGCGGTTAATTAACGCTTCATAGTTCTATAATTTCCTGTTTTGATTTTGTTTTTATAGCTTTTCTTGAGCCAGAGGAGTTCTCCAGTCGAGAGTATGTGAACAGATCTCCTGATTCGTCTACAATGTCACCGTCTAAGCGAGAACATCTCGAGGCTGATTTTGATGAGGATAATGGAGCTTCAATCCAGAAATCTAACAGTGTGTCCGACAATGCAGTTTACAAGGAATTGGAAAGAAAAGATTCTCGGATTGTGTCATGTAAGTTCAGTTTGTTTCTGTTTGACTCTTGGATTATTTTAATGCTGATGTTCCCAATGGTTTGCTTTGATGCCACAAACTATAACTTCAAAGGATAACGATTCATCTTTAGATGGGAAAATGTGTGATCTGATGCACCCAATGCATCATTTATTTATGTTGTTCCATTCGTTTTTCTTCAAATACATGTATCCAACGCATTTTCAAACATCAATACAAGGACACGATGACCCCTTATTAGTATCTGATCGATACACGAGTCCACATAACATAGAATTATATTAAACTAGTTCTTTTTAGTCCATGCCATACTTCTTTTATAGCTTGTTAGCCATGATTGAGGAAATATCTCAAACTGACAATGCCCTGTCTTTCTTTTTTCAGCTTCAAAGAGGTTAGAATACTCTAATCCCGACAAGGTACATTCAAGAAATGGCTACCACTGTTGCACTACTTTTCGTATTGTTTCTCCAATGACATTATTTTGTTGTTTCAGGTGAAGCAGAAAGCTGCCCCTAAGAAGCCAAATAAAGCTACGAAAGATCCTGGTAAGACAATGAAGCAGGCTTCTGCCCGACCACAAACTTCTCAGGCATGTATTCTGCGTATTAACATTCAATTACTGCTACTGTTGAATATGCTTTACCACGAGTTATATTACAGCAAATGCTGATGATGTTTTTCGTTTTACAAACACCGGATCCTATAGTCTGTGTGTAGAAGAGCGGTATCAACTCCATCTCTTCGTAAGCCACTGAATGTACTGGCCAGGAGGGCTTCCTTGGGTGCTAAGGATTTCATAATGGAAAAGGATGCAAAAAGTCCGACTGGTAATTCAGACTACACCTTCTTTGGATTAGGATCCTTGATACAAGGATGTGGTTGTGGCGGTTTAGGACGGCTCTCTGCTTTCTTGATCACGTTTTCTGTTTAATTTCCATTTATCTGTTGTAGGTAGAGGGACCACAATATCAAAGACTCCTGCTATGGATGGTTCAAGAAATATTTTGCCTAGGACTCCACGATCTTCCAGATCTTCTACCCTATCTTCTTCATCTAATTCTTCCATGGATATGATTAAACAAAATAATAACTCCGACTTAGTTAACTCATCTTCCTCCAGTTACACGTCCACCAATGCATCCAAAAGTGCAGCCAAAGGTAAACGTCGAACAGGACATTCAACACTCTCAACTTCGTTGAAGTCTCCTACCAAGCTCCATTCCAGTATATCGATTGCTAGTAGCTCATCCGGTGAATGGTCCTCGGAGGGATCGTTGTCATCACCAACCTCCAATGCTAATAAAAGGTCTAATGTCGTAAGAGTTAGTCTTGGCTCTAGCTCTCTAAAGGGACTCGTTACAGAAAGTGATGCCCAACAAGTTTCAGATTTGCGTCATACACATCAGCCCTCACTGGGAGATGGTGATGAGGTTACTGGTTCAGTGGATGAAAGTGAAAGCAAAGCTTCAGATGGAAGAACCTGGCTTCTTCATCAAGCTGCAATAAAACCCTCAGGCCTTCGACCTCCATCACCAAAGCTTGCCTTTTCCAATGGGGTTAGTTAATGCTCTATTCCTTATGGGAAGTGACTTTTACCTAGACTAAATGAACAAATTTTTAGCTCTAGTTAGCTTCGCTGGTCAATAGCCAATGAGAAATTGTGATGAATACAGGTTCGGTTATCCAGACACAATCGAACACGAAGTGTACCCTCCTTCCCAGCTGCACTTATTGGCATGCCTAAAATTGAAGAAAAAAGCACTAATCCAAGTGATGGCTCAAACAAGGCATCTCCTAGAGCTCTTCAAAGATCAACAACTATTGCAACAAAGGCACAAAGTGCTTCAAGAAACCCAAAAATAAGCCCTGGCATGTCCCTTAAACTTCATAATAAACTCTCCCAAAAAACTAGCAGAGAAAGTTACTCAAAGGCTCAGGGCATTCGTTCTGCAGAAAAACCCATTGGTTCCGATTTGCCAAAGCTTGTTGTGAAAGTAGGAGGCAAGGATGGCTCTCGAATTAAAGATACCAAGGTCGTTCCTCTTGCAGTACCAGAGTACTGATGATCTAGCTCCCTAGTCTGAGGTTCTATACATTATCACATCAAAAGAAGCTCCTAAAAATGACACAAAACACACATACATCATAAGACTGGTAAGCTACTCATGAGTATCAACTGCTGATATAAATCCGGACACCATGAAAGAATCCATAACACATTCGGATCAACAAATGCACTTCAAGAGAGACTTCCCAGAGTTTTAAAGGTACAACCTCTCCAAAATATACTTGTTGAAAATTTGTGAGTTCTAAACTGCATGTTATTTGAACTCGAGCATAAATATCACATACTACTAGTATATACTACTAGTACGTTGATGACACAAGTATGTTCAACATTTTAAAGATGTATTTAAAGGGCTGAATCGTTGTATCATCATTTACGGGTATTAATTCTTATAGTATTTTATGATTAGAAGAAACATAAACAGTTCTAATAAATAAATACTTGAAACCATACAGCATGTAGAAGAGAAAACAGTATGCAAAAGCACCAAAATCTTTTTCATTAAGATGACATCATAAATTCGATAGGATATCCCAGTCTGAAAAAGCTTCAGAGAAATACAATTACTTCAGTTCTAAGAAGTACAAAGAGTCACTTAGCAAACTTATGATCTTGGCTTCTCCTTCTTCTCTTTGAAGAGTGCTAAGAGTGAAACACCAGAGACCTTCACAACCTTGAATCTAACACCAGGAATATCACCTACAGCATGACCCTTTCGTCCGAATCCGGCAATCAACACCTCATCCTACAGCAATATATTATCATCAGAAGAGAAGCAGGAAGAAGGATGACAACTAAAAGTTACATGAGTCTGATCAACACTCACGTTTTCTTCGATGTAGTTCAAGCAACCGTCATTCGGTACAAATGCCGCAATCTTCTTTCCATTCTTAATCAATTGAACTCTAGCACACTTTCTGATAGCAGAGTTCGGCTGCTTAGCCTCGATACCTCTGTCCATGTTTCAAAGCCATCAGTACAGTAATCGGATTAGAGTTTAAGGTAAAAATGAACACGAAATAGAAAGAACCTAAGTCTTACATCTTCTCAAGGACAATGCCTTTGGCATGGGAAGAACCAGCAAATGGCTTCTTCCACTCATTTCCAAGGTTGGACTTCTTGTATGCCTTGTCGGCCCACCGCTGCCCCGGCGATGGGTCCTCAGCTTACGTCCGGCTCCCATTCCACGTGTCTTCCTGAAATAAAATATGACCTATATCACTCCAATTTCTAATTTCTCTTTGAAGTATTCGTGTCGTGTCCGACACATTTGATATTACTATAAATTATGACCCTCCAAGTAAAGTAAAACAAGTTTGTAAATATTGATTATACCTACATCCATACTCAAAACCCAAGTTCGAACAACATATATTAAAATACTCATAACTATTTACACCTAAATCTATATCATAGCTAAAAGAACACAATTAGCAAAGAACTGAAAGATCCCAAACCCAAATTTAAAAACCAACAATTCTCGTGAAAAAAATCATTCCAGGAATAGCTTAAACACTTCGAAAGGAGAAAAAAACATAGACATGCTAAGCAATAGAGAATAAATGCTACGATTTTAGCAAAAATTAAGAAGAAGAAAAATACCCCATGTTGGCTGAGAATTAGAAACTGTTGTTACGGATTGAAGTTGTAAGTAGGAAGAAGCAGCCGCTAAGTATTATAACTTTAAAACTTGAAGAGACTAACCCTAGAAACGATGGTCCATATATAATAACATATTTCAAAAATAATATTGTAAAGTACATCGAATGAGATTAAATCATGTTTAAATAATTATTTTAATTATTAAAAATTATTAATTTTTATATTATAAATGGTCATTATAATATTATATAAAAATAATAAATTTAAGGTTTAATCACAAAAGAATGTCTAAATTATATTATTTTTATTATTTAGGTGTCTAAACTTTTTTATCAATATAGGTGCTTAAAGAAATAAACATTATTATTTTAAGTGTTTTAGTTATAACAAACGTTAAAAAAATATTAATTAACACATATTGTGTTATAATTTTGTAAACACATTTTTTTATGTAAAATATATATTATAATATTAAATGGTTGGGGTTATTAATACCCCAACAACCTTGTAAAATGGGACTGAGCCTTTGTCCTCTGTTTTAAAAATCGGATCGGATCAGTCGGTTCAACCGTTTAATCGGAAATCGTTGTTTAGTTCGGTTTAATCTAAATCGGTTGAATCGTTGAACCGTTCGAATCGGATCGGCTGAAAATCGGAAAAAACCAAGAAAAATCGGAATTTTTGTTTTTTTAAAAAAATAAACAAACAACGTTTTTTGTTAAACGAGTCAAGTCGAACTCGAGTATTGTTGAGCTCGACGCGAACTTAAAAACTTTAAAAGTAAGATCAACTCAACTCAAACTCACAAGCTAAAAATTATCAAGTTCAACTCAAACTCGAAATATAATATTAAAACTTTAACTCAAAAAATTTAAACTAAAAAAAATTCGAGCTCGATTGAAGTAAAATAGTTCACTCAATGCTCACCAAAAGGCTCCATGATTTTGAATGCCAAATTACCTCTATTATTTATAGAAGTTAGTTGTGATGCTCTTCTATGTTTTTTAGCAATGTGAGATTGTTTTGTTCTCATATTTTTACTCTTTAGACTTTTGGGATGCTCTTTTGTGTTTCTTAGCCATGTGGGATTGTTTTTAAAAAAAAAATTAAACAAAACAATATCATTTTGTTATTATTTTTTAACCCCAAATTTATTTTTTTAATTATAGTTATATAATTATATTTATTATTTAATATGTTTTACCTTAAATATTATATTGTAGTTAATTTGAATCATTTTGTTTCACTTGATTTTATGATTTTTAACTTATATATGTTATGACTTACTTTGAATATAACTTATGATATAAAAAATTATTTTTTATTAAATATTTTCAGTATTTTTATTTAATTTTTTAAATAATTATGACGTCATCCGGTTCTTCCGACCGGTCAAACTGATTCGACCGGTTAAACCAATGAACTGATAACATAACCGGTTCGCTAACCGGTCCGATTCTAAAAACCATGCCTTTGTCCCGAAAGTAATGAAATGACTTTTTTTCTCTCTCCAGTTTTACTTTCTTTTCTGTCATTTTCATTTGCTTTTCCATTTGATTTTGGCTTTTTCTTTTGGTTTCGGGGGATCACGGGCAGAGGGAGTGGCCACCGTTGAGTGGTGGCCGGCGTGCGAGAGAGGTCCTCTCACGGCAGGAAACTTCGGTTGTTGGTGGTCGGCGAAGTCCAGGGAGTTTCGACTAAGAGGTCGATGGTATGAGGGTGGTTTTCGGGGTTTCAGTTGTGTAAGTGATGAGCGAAGGGTGAGGGCCGTTTATGTAGTCTAGATCTTCACCGGCCGATCGAATACGATCGTGAGGGAGTGAGGGGGTCACAAGGTCTCGGTGGCCGGCGTTGGGGTCAGTTTTACGTCCCTCGGCGTTGTGAAGAGAAAGAATGGGAGAGGAGGATAACGGGAAAAGTTCTCGGCCATTTAAGCAGTCGTTCGGGATTCCTTTGACCGTGGTAAAGGTAGTCGTGATGTAGATCGGTCACCGACCCGGTACCCGGCGTGTGGGGGCCGTTGAGCGGTGGCCGAGTGAGGCTGTTGAAACTTTGGAAAGTCTCAGCAGTTTACGTGAAACAGGGGGATATATGATGTTTGTATGAAAAAGGGTAAACCACGTATCAGGTCCCCAATTTTAGGGTATTTTTACTTTGTTTACCTATTTTAGGGTTAATTTCATTTCAGGTCCTCAAGTTTCAGCGTGTTTTATATTTTGGTCACTATCAGGGTAAACCATCTTTAAGCTCCCCTTATTTTAGATTCTTTTGCAATCTGGTAATTTACTTTGTTATTTATTTCGAATATGCATATTAATTTTATTAACTTTCGAACTTAGTCACTGTTGTTTATATTTATTTATTTTAGTCACTGATTGGATTATGCTTATCATGTTATTATGAATTAGATGTGATATTTGTAATTTATTCATTTTAGTCACTGCTCGTTTATGATTTAGCTATTGTTATTTTAATTTTTGCATTTTGATCCCTGTTTATTTCTTATTTAACTACTAGCTTTTATTTTCTTCCATTTTAGTCAATGTAATTAGATTTTATGCAATTAGGTCCTTGTACTTATTTTATTTTTATTTGTTATTTATGTTGTTTTTACTGTTTTTATTTTTATTTTTTACTTGTTATTTTAATTAAGTTTATTATTATTTAATTTGTTTCATAATTTTAATTTTCTAGATTTAGCTTTTAAATTAGACTAATATTCGAATCAAGTTTAGAAATTAGGACGACACTTTAGTTAATAATTAGGAAGCGATTCGAGTCAAGTTTTCACATAAGATGTCCGATTACTCGAATCGATTGCTCGGCTTTTAAAATTTATTAATAATTAATATTTTCTAAAAGCTCTACGTTTAATAATTTAGATAATAATTAGTTTAGATTTAGTCCTCAACTTTAGAAATTATCAATTTATGTCCTAAGCTTTTAGATCTTTTAGAAGTCGGTATTTTTAGATCTTAACCTTTTAGTCCCCGATTTTCAATTAGATTCTTAATATCTACATGATTAAATAGGTTAAATAGAGCCTCCATTTTAGGTTAGATTTCAAACTAGTCTTTTAATTTATGAGATAATTCGAGTCGACCCTCCCATAAATGCTTGAGGGACCATCTCGTTTATTCGGTTCAATAATTGAGTAAAAAATCAAATAGGATTAATATTAGAACCTACACATTTAGGTTTAAGCCCCTAGGTTCCTTAATTTTCATAATTTGACACTTAAGTTAGAAAAAAGCCTTAATTTACTTGTAGTTTAATTTGGACGAATAAAATTTTGTCTAATCGTATTTTATTTATAAATCTAAGGCAATGTTCACTTATTAGGGAATTAATGGTATATCTCCCGCAAGTATGCTCCGGGGTGATTACTGGTAA